GGGGGGGGGGGGGACTGTGATCGTTTCTGAGCAGTGAAATGAGATGATGAGATTTTTGGTTTAAAAATGCAGCTTAACGGCTGTGATGTCGGGAGGGTCAGCTTTTTGGGCCTCTGAATCCGAATGCGTTTGGAGGCCGCCAGAAATGCGGCCTCTTTATTGCTGTCTTTTCAAGGGGCGGGGTGGAGAGGAGGAGGATTAAAAAGCTCACGGAAGATTCAGAGGTGGCCAGCGTCTCCGCATCGTGGTTGAAGATGGTGAGTCCCCAGCAGCGGGGAGGGGTGGATGGAGGTGTTGGCTGGACAGGAACTGGGGGTCTGGGGCTGTAGGTAGAGGTTAGGGTTTCCTGAGTGTGACCCTCTCCACGTCCTCTGCGCCAGGCAGTGGGGAGGCTTGCGGCTGGGAGGTGACCCCACAGCTCGGGGCGTCTTGTGGGCCAGGGGGCGTATCCAAAGGGTTGCCAAAGCAAGGGGGACCTCAGGCTGCACGGGCCACGAGGCGGGGGGACCCCACCCTCCCCAGATCTTGGCCCGCCCGGAAGTGGCCAGGCCTCGTGGGCCGCAGTTGGAGGTTCCCCCTTGGTCTTTGCAGTTGAGGCCGTGGCCGAGAGCAGCCCCGGGCGTGGCTTTGGGCCATTGCGTGGTTCTCCCAGGCCGAGCAGCACAGTTTGGAAGAGATGAGAAGGGAGGGCCTGCTCTCAGGCTCCTGTGCTCAGCTGGGAGGGAGAGTTCACCCGGAGGAGGGTCAGCAGCCTCTCTCCCTGGGGCTGGGAGGGCCGGTGGCTGGAATGGGTGAGGCAAATGGCCTGTGGCAAATGAGCGCCAGTGACACCTGGCAGTTGTTTACCTGCGTTCTCCAATTCGATTCGTTGTGGTGGTGATCCGTTGGCCGGAGCGGCGGGAGGGGGCGAGATGCTCCTGACTTTGGCCAGTGGAGGCAGGTGGGAGCCTCATCCTGCGTCCCCAACCTCCCAGAAGCAGGCGCCCCTCAGGCTCTGGTCCCCAGTGAGAGCAGGTGATTGTGACGCAGGCTTTCCAGAGAGGGCAACGCAGAGCTGAAGTCAGAGTAGTGTTTTGTCGAGTCTTCAGATTCTGACCAGCAAGTTCCTTGGAGGTGGAGGTCCAGCAGGGGTCTGGAGGGAACTGGGTATCTGGCTTTTTCCCCACCTCCCTGCGGGGAGGATCCTCAGTATCTTTGAGAGCCACCCAAGGGAGCCACGTGATTGATTTTACTATGTTCTGGCTTAGGCTGGCATCTAAAGGTAAATGTTGTGCAGTGTGGTAAGTTCTAGAAATAAGATGGGGCTACAGCCACAAGGCGAGGGGACTTTAGGGGTTTCCTGTGACTGTTGCAAGCATGCTCTTTATGTAGACTTACAACCCTGCTGGTTGCACAGGGAATTTTACGTGAAAAAACAATTTTGGAACCTGTTCTTGGTTTCTTTATGAAAAGAAAGTAACAGAGAAACTTCCAAGTATTTCCCTGCGGGTTGGAATTTTCTCCCGAGAGTGCTACTGTTTGCAAAGCAAAATTCTCTTTTTGGCGGAAGTGCCTTGGAAGTAAGCGCCCTGAAATCTACCTGTGGACTGTTTGGATTGTCCCCTGTCCCAGAAAGGCTGCCTGCTCAGGTGTCCCCCCCCAAAGACAGATGGATTCAGTTAGGAAGTAACGAAGGTAATCAAAAATACCCAGAAGGTTGTAATTGTTTGGGGCGGAGTTTCTAACCTCCTCACTTACATCTTGGGCTGCACATTGTGTGTCGCCCTGGCTCGCTCGCAGGGTCTGTGGTCTCTAGCCACCAGGTGCCAGCGGCACATCCCCACCTCCAGTGGTGACGAGCGAAAGTGTCTCCGCTTTGCCAAGTGTCCCCCGGGGTCCACAATCTCTCCCGCCGAGAACCAGTGGTTTAAAGAGGATGGTCTGCTCACGCAAATGTTTCTCTAGGAAAATGTAAGAAATGTCATCAGTTCAGGAAGTCCGTCCAGTTTTCCTTGGAGATTAGAAGATGAAACGGAACGGAAGCCCTCTCTGCTTCCGGAACCGGTGTGGTGTGTTTTTTACGCTCTTGCTTTCACGTTGATCACTCATCAGTCGTGCGCAAGCCTTTGGGGGCTGTGAGCTCCTCGTTGGTGCGAGGGCCAGGGCGTCCGTGGGCACTGGTGGCGCAGTGAGCCTGCCACGCAAGGGGGCCCTGGGAGCCTCGAGGGGACGGGCCGCTGCAAACACCTGGGGCGCATCCAGCAAGGGTTTCTAGGTGGTTTTTCTCGGGGCAGCTAGGCTTTTCCCTTAGAATCCTTTCTTCGTTAGCATTCTGGAAGTGCCACTTCTCCTTATTTCTAGAAGGGCACAGAGAGGCACACTTCCTAGAACCCGGTCTTTATCACTTGCTGGAAACAAGATGCTCTTGGGCAACAGCCCTGCGTCTGAAAAGGGGCCGCCCCACTCCCGCTGGCGCCTAACAGGTGCAGGTGCGCTCCAAACCCTGCTGCCCGGCACGGTGACACAGCCCTGCCCCGCCCTACCCTACCCTACCCTGCCCGAGGCCCGCCAGACTGAGTGTGCCTCTGGGAAGAGAGAATGGTAGCACGTTTCTTTGTAAATGGCCCCGTGCGGTTTTCTGAAGCGGAACATACACAGAATACGCTCTGTGTGGTACATGGGAGTCTGAGCAGACTCATGGGTGCTTCACAAACCCGGGGCGGGCTGAAAGCAGATGTTTTGAGGTTCCAAACTGGGGTTCTAGCAGCTTTGTGACTGTTTTTGCTTTCTCCCAAATATGACCATTAACCTAAGTCACAACCACGGTTGTTTCTATGGGGAAACGTGTACACGTGCTCTCTCACAGCTGGCCTAACTAGGAAATGCAAAGTGACAGCATAAGAAAATCTGCGGGTCGACTTTTAATTGAATGTATTCTATTTAATAATGGAGAGAAAGTGTGTGAGTCATTAAGGTTTTCTCAAAAATATTTTTTTAATTTCTTAAAAAAATTTTTTTTCGAGCGTGTGTGTGTGTGCATGCGCGCGCGGGGAAGGGGCAGAGAGAGAGGGGGACACAGAATCTGCAACAGACTCCAGGCTCTGAGCTGTCAGTGCAGAGCCTGATGCGGGGCTTGAACCCATGAACCGCGAGATCACAACCTGATCCGAAGTCGGACGCTTAACCGACTGAGCCACCCAGGCACCCCAAGATTTTATTTATTATTATTTAAAAACATTTTTTAAAATATTTATTTTTGAGAGAGTGTGTGAGTGGAGGAGGGCCAGAGAGGGAGACACAGAATCTGAAGGCAGACTCTCCAGGCTCTGAGCCGTCAGCACAGAGCCCGATGCGGAACTCGAACACATGGACTGTGGGATCATGACCTGACCCGAAGTGGGACGCCCAACTGACTGAGCCACCCAGGCGCCCCTATTATGTTTTTAATTTATTTTTGAGACAGAGCATGAGTTGGGGAGAGAGGTGGGGGGGGACAGAAGATCCGAAGTGGGCTCTGTGCTGACAGCAGAGAGCCCGATGTAGGGTTCAAACTCACTAACTGCGAGATCATGACCTGAGCTGATGTTGGACGCTCAACTGAGTCACCCAGGTGGTCCCCAAGAATTTATTCTTAAGTAATCTGTACACCCAACACGGGACTCGAACTCACAACCCTGAGATCAAGAGTCACATGCTCCTCTGATCCAGCCAGGCTCCCCAGGTTTGTTTTTTTCTGATGAGGGAAAAAGGGATCCGAGAATTCACGTTCTCCTTCCTTTGGGAAGAAATCTCTACGTGGGAAACTTCATGCAGATTTGTAATGAATATGTGCCGAAACACGTGGTATTTTAAAGAACGTCCTGAACAAAATGGTCGATAATAAGATTTACTTTAATCTTTCAATCTGCCAAAAAAACCCCAAAACAACAACAAAAAAATCAAACTATACTCATATATATATACAGTGTGGACATTTTCAGAGCACTTACATTAGGAAACATGGTTTCTCTTCAACCACATGACATATTGCATGTGCCACAATAGAATTTACACGGACGATCGCACAGCAGCCGTACAAACATTGTGATTTTACGTTTCAGTACACAAGAAAAAAATAGACCTCTTCCCGGCACTCTGTTCGCTCAAAACTGCCGCCTGTTCCCAGTCTAGCAGAGCACGTTTTCACCCGTGCTTTCAGAAACTTCGGCTTTTCCACTCTAACAGTGGCTATTTTAGAAGTCCTACGCTTTCCAGATCCAAACTTAAATGAGAAATTTGCCTTTTAAAAATAACCACCGATGGTTTATTAACGGGCATGGGGAGGTTTACCCACCAGGATGTGTTAAAAAAAAAAAAAAAATTGCAGGAAAGTAAAAATAAATAAAGCTGTTGTAAAGCAGTTTTGTTTACACTGTAGTTCAGAACAGACACTTAAACGTAAAACTGCCATTGAAGGTTTACAAAGTAATGATTTATATCCAAATTACAACGGTTTGACAAATCTAATGAGAACAAAACTGATTTGGTAAAGGTCCAAAGACTGTCACGCCCCAGCACCGTGTGGCTCCAGCTGCCACGGGCCGCAGTGATGACATATCACGTGTTCCGACATAAGGCACTAGGTCTGAAGAAGCCATGCGCTCGCCTTATGTCATATTACCTGTTACAGACCAGTGAATTCTTTGAAACGAAAAATAATAAAAAATTTCAGGACACAGTGCACTTTAATAACATACAGCATTTGAAATCGCTCAGACGAAGGTCTGAAAACAGTCTTTTAATGCAAGGCTGAATCTTCAAACACATAAAACCTGTTTCTTATGCTCAGTTTCAACGTCACTGGAAAAAACACCCATCGCTAAACCCTGCTATACATTCTTAGCCATTTTACGGTCTTCTAACACGGTCAGTGTTCATGAGGCAAAGCGTGACCCAGAATCTTTGTTCAAGTTCTCCTACGAGGGCTTCTCCACTCACAGCGGTCATTCGGTTTCCGTCTCCTTTTGTTTGGCACCTGTCGGTAGATGGAAAATGAAACATCAAAGCGCGTCGCAGATGGGCCTGTCTTGCACACAGCAGGGGTGGTCCCCACCCCCTGGGGAATCCTCACCCGTACTCTGCCGTGCCTTAGGAGAACGTTCCAGACCCCTACAAACACAGCCGCCCACTTCTAATCTGTGTTCCAGGTCCTAAGTGTTAAATACGCAGGACTTAATTTGGAAAAGAAAGGGGTTCCAGTGCTAACGTTTTTAAAAGAGAGAACGCACGTGTGTCCTAGTGAAGGTGCGCGTGTTGCCGTCACGCGGGCGGACCTCGCTCACTGCGCTTTGTGGGTGATTTTGTTCTTAAAAATCGGAAGGTCTGTGCCAACCCTGCCTCAGGCAAGTCTACTGGCACCGTTTTCCAAACGGCATCGTTCTGTGTGCCCATCCCATTTTGGGAACTCTCCCCGCGTTGCAAACTTTTTCACGACGATACCTGTTAACGGCGATCAGGGATCTCGGTCGCTACTGTAATCGTTGGCCGGCACCGTGAGCCACACGCAGGCAGCGACTCAATAAATGTGTGTGTGCCCACGGCTCCGCTGGCCGTCCCCCCCATCTCTCCCTCCGTCTCCTCGGGCCTCCCTCGTCCCTGAGATGCAACACTCTTGAAACCAGGCCAACGTGGCAACCCTACCGCGGCCCCTAGGTGTTCAGGTGAAAGTCGCCTACCTTTCGCTTTGTATCAAAAGCTAGAAATGATTAAGCCCGGTGTGACAAAGACACGTCCAAAGTGGGCCTCTTTCACCAAACAGCGAGCCCCGCTGTGAAGTCAGAGGAAAAATCCTTGAGATAAAGGGCTGCTCCAGGGGCACCTGGCTGGCTCGGTCGCAAAAGCGAGTGACTCTTGGCCTCCGGGTTGTAAGTTCGAGCCCCACGCTGGGGGTAGACATGCCTTAAGTAAATAAATACGTAAACTTAAAAAAAAAAAATAAAAAAAGAAAAGTGCTCCTCCGGGAACACGGGTGGTAAGAAGGCAACACGGCCTCCCTGCTGGTATGGAGAGGGTTGCAGGGGTCTGGACGGAAGGTCGCGCCAGCCACACGTCCCCTGAGGCCAGAGCCTAATCCGGAGCCAGGCCCCGACTCTCTCCGACTCCGTGAAGGCAGAGAGAGGTGAGGCAGCTGCAGAGGAGAAGCCTGAAGCTGGCAGAGGTGGGTCAGGAGGTTCCGGGAAAGGCGCCCTCTCCACAGCA